CAGATCGGAAGAGCGGAGCCAGGGAGAGCCTGCCTCTGCAGCAGCCTGTGGGAGCAAATGCTCCCTACCCCAGCTGGGCAGTGCCACCAAAGTACAGACCTCTGACCCAATGCAACCTGGGATGGGGATCAGGACAGGTTCCAACAGCTGCCAGGCATACCCTTGGCTTTTGACATTAAACTTACCTGAAATCTTTGAGAACAATATACAGAAGGAGAGCTTTTACCCCAACTGGCTAACATTTGGGTGAGATAAAAACTGTATCAGTAACAATCTAGTTTCACTGAAGATGGAGTCAAGTAATTAAAATTGGGGTGGGGGTGGGGGAACCATGATTGAGAGCAATTAGAAAGGTCCGAACACAGTCAGTTTATTCTTTCAGTCTTGTTCCAACGTTTACACTGCATTTAAACTGTAGTGATTAGCCATGCTGGTTTGTGAATGAATGAGTGTTTGAAGGTCTTTAAGTTTATTTGTTAGTAACCAAGGTTAGCAATAGAGTGTGTGGGCTCCTTACTCATCTACCCAAATCCAGGGAAGCTCTACTTGCTGAAGGGGCCCGAGTGCCTGGGAAAGACAAGTATCCTCACTAGGGCAAAGTGTGCAGACCTGAGTCTAAAGAAGCACAGACCTCTCACCCTTGGCACCTGCTGTGTGGATGAGCTGACGGAGCAGACACAAGAACCAAAGCAAACTTCTGAGCTGGGCTGTTCCCCTAGAAGAGCTGAAGGTCAGAGTGTAGGAATAGCTCTGATGGTTCTCCCAGCCTGACTTCTTGTTGTTGCTAAGTGCCATCAAGTCGATTCCAACTCATAGTGACCCTGTATAGGGTTTCCAAGAAGCGGCTGGTGAATTTGAACCGCCGACCTTGCAGTTCAAACCAACCTTGCAGTCCAGTGCTTATCGTACAGCGCCACACCAGGACTCCTTACTGGGAGTGGCTAGATAATTTGCCCGTTGTCCTAGATCTAGTAAGTCAGTCTGTTGGGCGAGGCTCTTCGTTAGATTCCTGCCATGATTTACAGACCAAGGTATTTCTTGGACCTGCTATCAATTTATTGTCCTACAGAATCCAGCATGGTTACAGTGGACCCTGCTCCCTGCTCAGCACCGGACTCCAGGGCCAGCAGAGGCAGTCAGAAGCAGGTTTATTGAAAACCAGTTGCGGTGTAATTGAGAGCTGCATGTGTATGATCAGGCTCCATGGGTCTCAGCCCCAGAATGAAATGATGGCTGGCTCATGTGGTAGAACTCAGTGGGCTGGTACCTCCTGGTATTCTGCAGGGAGCTCTGTGTGTCCAGGCTTCAGAAGGGATGTGGGGACATTAAGGGTGGACCTGCCCCCAGCAGGGAGCAGCCACTTGATGCTGGGTGCACCTGGGTCCGTTGCAAAGGCAGGCAGGGAACATGAAGTTCCAGAAGACGAGATACCAGCTCCTACAGCCTAGGGCTGGGACACTGATGTACAATGGGCCTGGGAAGAGGGCTGGCAGTTCTCAGAGGTCAAGGAGAGAGATCAGGCTTGCCCGGGCTGACAGCTATCAGATGGGCTGGGCAGGGCATGGGTGTGGGCAGCTTCAGAGGAGCAAAAAGCCCACAGCTGAACACTTGGGTGTGCCACCTGTGGCTTCAAGGGTCCTGGAGACCCTCAGCTGGAGCTAGACTAAATCCCCCTGTGTCTGTTTCAGTGCCTCCATGGATTCCACCCTTGGTTTCCTAGGACTACCACAACAAAATGCCTTAAGTGGGTGGTTTTAGTAGACCTTGTAGTTCCAAGTAACCTTGTGGTCAAGTGCTTATCCTATAGTGCCACAAGTTGCGAATCAAAACAACAATGAGATATTATCTCACCCCAGCATTAGTGTTATTGTTGTTGTTAAGGACCATCGAGTCAGTTCTGACTCAGCGATCCTGTGTAGGGTTTTGAGGAGCAGCTGGTGAGTTTGAATTGCTGCTGGCCTTGTGGTTCAAATTGACTTTGTGGTTCAGCACCTATCCTACAGCGCCACACCAGGTAGTAAAGTTCAAAACAACAGAAAACAGCAAATGGTGGTGAGGATGTGGAGAGACTGGAACCATCACACACTATTGTGGAACAGTAAAATGGTACAACCACTGTGGAAAACAGTATGGTGCTACCTGTAAACGTTGGAAACAGAGGTACGACCTGATCCAGCATTCCCACATCTTGGCATGTATCCTTGAGAACTAAGAGTTGCAACCTGAATAGATTTATGCACACTCATGTTCATTATGGGAGCATGGTGGCTCCATCTGATAAGCTCTGGACTTCAAACCAAAAGGTCTGTGATTTGAACACGTCAGCTGCTCCTCAGGAGAAAGATGAGGCTTTCCGCTCTTGTGAAGATACAAAGCCTTGGAAACCCTATATAGGGTCGCTATGAGTTGGAATCCACTTGACAGCAACAATGTTCATTGTAGCACTATTTGCAATAGCAAAATGATGGAAATAACCCAAATGCCCATCAATGGAAAAACAAACAATAGTATATACACACAATGGGATAGTATGCAATGTTCAAGAATTAGGATGAATCTGTGAAACACCTGATAACATGGATGAACATTATGCTGAGTGAAGTAAATCTCAAAAGGACAAATATGGCATGGGATCACTATTGTAAAAAGTCATGAAAAGGTTTTCTGACAAAGAGAAATATTTTCTGATTGTTACTAGGGTGGTAGGAGAGGAGAGGATAAATTTAAAAAATAAATAAGTGGGTGGTTTTAGAGGACCAAAATTGTCTCACAGTTTGGAAGGCTAGAGGTCCAAGTCTAGGCTCTGGCTCGAGGGGAGGGTCCTTCCTTGTCTGCAGCCCCAGGTGCTCCTTGGTGTTCCTGGCTTGTAGGCGGTTCTCTCCCTGTGTGTCACTGGGCCTATACACCACCACTCAGAAGGGATGAGGTTTAGGACCCACCCTACTTCTGTATGCTCTCATTAGCATAACTCAAGAAAACCATCTTTCCAAACCAGGCCACCTTCACGGATACAGAGATTAGGATTTCAACATACATTTTGGGGAAATAATTCAATCTGTAACACACCCCATTCCCATTGTGGGAACCTTCCATTCTGTCATAGCCCCTCAGAACCTGACACACATCTGTCCTTTCCGAACAGGGCCACCTTCACAGGGAGAGGGTTAGGACATCAACATATACTTTGGAGAAACAATTCAATCTGTACTTTCGTGTACTTTATAAATTAACATTAAATAGGGCTTTGAGTTGGGCATTCGGTACATGCCGCTTCTGCCCTTTGTAAATGAGCAACAGAACAGGAGTCAACCCCATGGCATGTACTCCCCGACTTCTTGTGTCCCCAAGCAACTCTGACCTTAGATTAATACATCAGATACCAGAAACGCTGTTTCAGGTCACAGGCTGTTTTTCTTCCCAGCAGATTTTATGTGCGCTCACAGTGTGTGAGTGTGTATGTGTGTGCATGTGTGTGAGTGTGCCTCGTGTGAGTATTTGCATGTGTGTGTTTTCATGTCTGGATGGGTTTGTCTATGAGTGTGTCTGTACACGCGTGTGTGAGGGCTCGAGCAGGTTGTCATTTATCTGATCTCCATCTGAAGAAGGTGCAGAGTTGAGAAGGTCCAGGAGGAGGGAGAAGAGATGCTTTGGGGACTCTGGGAAAAAGTGGGGTGTGGGGATTGGAAGAGCACAGATATATGGATTTTTCCAGCAGATAAAATGAAATCATAGTGCATCGTGCATCTAGCAGAGAGCTTGTCCTGTAGGAGGAAGCCTGCATTATTTGCCAGATGAAAGAAGGATCGGAAGAACCAGCGAGTGACAGACCTCCCTATGTTCAGGCAGCCCAGATTGCAGTGAACTCTCCAGAGAAAATGAACTGCCCTTTCCCATCAGCTATAGCCCCATGTTTTCACTTCTCTCTGTTCTGATACCCATCTTTCTCCCTCTTTTTTAGGGCTTTGAAGACCCCAAGGACAAGTGAGTAACACTTTTTTATTTTTACTCCCTCAGCCTGGGGCTATCTCCAAATCTACCTTATAACTCAGTCTCCCCACCCTACATGGAAATGATCCCACCTGCCCATGCTGGCTGATAGGTGCTCAGGCAGGGTGTCCCAGGAACCCCGGCCAGCTGGCTTCAATTGCAGCCTCCCCAGCCCTGATCTGTTCCCAGACCTCTCTGAGCAATCCAGGTGAACAGTCAGAGCCAGGCCCTGATGACCTCCCCAGTGATCATCCTGTCTGTGTCTGCCTCCTGCCCCCCAGGAACGCCCAGGAAAGTGCGAACCCTGAGGATGAAGTGGATGAGTTTCTGGGACGGGCCATTGATGCCAGGAGCATCGACAGACTGCGATCTGAGCATGTTCGCAAATTCCTCTTGACCTTCAGGGAGCCTGACTTAGAGAAGAAGGTGACTGGGCCTCTTCCTCTCCTGCCTCCAACACCACAGAAGGGTCCCTCTCTTTGCCTCCTGTCCCTCAATTCTGATGCTCCTCTATCCAGGGCTATGGGGGTTCAAGGAGACTTCCTTGATTGGAAGGGATCATGTAGTAGTTGGTTTACTTATCTGGGAAATTTAACCAGTGCTGTAGGATCAGTACTGGACTGCTAACCACAAGGTCTGTGGTTCAAACCCACCAACTGCTCCATGGAAACCCTATACTGGGTAGCTAGGGTCAGAACTGACTCGATGGCACTAAACAACAACAAACCTCAAGGGTTGTGGTGCAGATTAAACAAGTCAATACATACAAAACACTATCTGCCACATAATAGATATTCAATAAATGCTGGCACTGTTTGTATTATTATTATCCCAAAATAGGCCGCCAGTTCGCTTTTGCCACACTGGAACCTCAAAGCATTAAAGTTGGAAGGGGCCGTTGCAGCCTTTTTGTCCCATGACCTTATACAGTGAATGAGAAGACCCAACATTCAGTTGCTGGGGACCTGCAATGGGGGCTGCTCAATGTTAGAGCCAGCTGGAGCCAGACCCTGGTCTAGTCACTTCACCCTGACCCATCCCAGTCAAACTGGGGTCTCGGGCCAGCATTAAAGGAGGCACACCTATGATGGCTCAATTTCTGAAGGAAAGTAACTACACTTACCAGTAATACAAAAGGAGCCCATGGGTGATGCAGACAGTTAAGCCCTTGGCTACTACCCGGAAAACTGGTGGTTTGAATCCAACCAGAGGCACTTTGACTGAAAGAAAGAAAACCATCCACTGAAAATGTTATGAAACACAGTTCAACTCAGAAACATGGTTGCAGCCAGTCAAAACTGACTTGACAGCAATTGGTTTGTGTGTTTGTTTCTTGGTCCCAGTAGGGAATGGAGCTAATGTGTGTATTACCCAGGCCGGGCAACTCTAACCACACTGAACTCCGTTAGTGCAGCTGGGAGGTGTCATGGGAGTGCTGGGCGCAGGGCTTGGGACCTTAGGTCTGAGCTCTGTGACTTTGGACAAGTCACATAGCCTCTCTGAGCCCAGAGTGTTGATCTCAGAAATAAGCCCTGTGTCTACTTCATGGGGCTCTTGTGAGGATGTTTGTCGGTGCTCGTTGGCTTGTAGCATATTTCCCAGCACATAGGTGGTGCTCAGTAATTAGTAGGCATGTTGTTGTTGTTGTTAAGTGCCATCGAGTCGGTTCCGACCCATAGCGACCCTGTACAGGGTTTCCGAGGATGTAAATCTTTACGGGAGTAGAA